AGAAATGTTGATATAATTATTTTAAGACTGTGAGTAAATTACTGAATTACTTGAGGTATCAATTTCAATAGGTGAATTATTTACAGTGTAGAAATATTCAGATAAATTTTGTTTAGAAAAGAATGTTTTAATTCATCTTGTTTTTGTTGTTTAAAATGACGATGTTTCTTTTGTCTATAATATGCAGCCATGCCTTGGATTAATAAAAAATAGTATAACTAAATATAACTCATAGTTAAAATATAAATTTTATTAAAAGTTTTCTAAAGTATATTTGATTTAAGGTTACCTAAAAGTTTATATTTTTTTATAAATAAAAAACACTCATCTTGACAGCAAATATATATATTGTTTTATAATATATATTACTATTATTTCTCGCAGCAAGCAACTTGTAATACGAGGTATTATTAAATAAATCATTAACAATAATAAAACTTGATACATTATCTGAAAAGTTTATTAAAATGCATAAAAGTTTAATAAATACAATAATCTGTTTAGTTTTTAAAAAGAGTTATAACAGTACTCTAACAATAAAACAATGAAAAGTAAAAAAAATAAAAGATTACAATTATGCAGGTATATGGGGAAAGGATTTACCAAATCACATACAAACTTGTACATTGGAAAGAACGAAAGCAATGAATCTCATGAGTTCAAAAAAATTATTATTATGTTATGTAACATAGATATGGAAAATTAACTGTTTTTTTTTTTTTTTTTTAATGCTTTAAAAATTTTATGCGTTTGTAATTCAGGGGGATTAATTTTGTAAACTCACATCTCAACCAATAGTAGTCATACTTTATTTAGTTTTTTATGTAAATACATAAATGTAATTCCAATATAAAATAAAACTGGATAGTTAATCTACTTAAATCAGTACCAGTTTAAGTATCTAAAAATTTTTATTCTTATTAACTCTTTTGATTACAAAAAATAACAATAAAGTGATTTAAAGTAACTAAAAAGCACTTTAGCTCTTTCTAATTGCTCTCAAAAATAAAATAAAACTTTCTTAGTTAGTTGCTTAGTCATTAACATGTTCTAAACAAATTTCCGAATGGGTCTGTGTACACTAATTACTAAAAAAAAAGTGTATTCTACTTAGTTACCAGTTTTCTTTTATTTTCTCACGTTGTATAATATGCTGCTTAAAAGCTTTAAATTTTAAAAAAAGTATATGAATGGAATAAAGGACGACTTAAAACTTTCAGCAACCATTTTTATTTTTTAATTTACATTTTGGTTTATGATATATTGCACGTGTCATTGCAAAAACATGATATCGAGAAGAATGCAAGTAAAAAAAAAAAAAAAATCTTTTTTCGTTTTTTTACATTAAACCTATTATAGTTTTATGTTGGTCATAAAATTCTTTTTGTACTTTTATAAACATTTTTTGTCTTGATTTTGTTTTATGGTTGCATTGCTTATGGTTACATCCGCATTAAAAATTCGTTAGGTGTCCTTATGAATACAGTAGTTTTGCGCATTAGTTATAAATGTCATTGTTTTCTCATCAAATAGTTTGTTTAAAAATGTTTGTCCATTATTGAAGGTTATCAGAAGTGTGGCTAGTTAAAAATGCATGTCACAAACTTACTCTTGCCCAAGTAACACAAAAGCTGTTGAACTTTAGTATCCATTTCTCTAAAATTAAATTTTAGTATCCATTTTTTTTGTGTGTAGGGGAGACCGGGGCTAGTTGGCCGCAGGGGTAAGTTGACGAATTGCGTTTATCTTTAAAGCCTTTCATCAGAAAGTGATAAAAATTACACAGAATCTTCCTAATTGACTGTTTCATCATTCAATGTAGTATTGTCAGGATTCGCGCATGCGCATGGGAGATATTAAGATTTAAGTGTTTTTTGGACAAAAACGTAACTTTTGAAACATCGCTTCCTTTTTACTTTACAAAGAAAATAGTTTGTCAAATGGAAAAAAAATTATTGTAAAAGTTCTAGCCACAATTGGTTTACTATATTCAGTTTGACTTTTTTTAAAAGTTGCCGTTTTTCAGGATCTATAGACTGTTTATTGAAAAAAAAGCCTTCGGGGTAAGTTGACAAAATTTTTACGGGGTAAGTTGGCTCATAGCATTTACTATGGAGAAAAATATTTATTTTTATAAAAATAATTTTTTTAATTTTTTTAATTTTTAACAATATTGAAAAAACTTATTCTTACAAAAAAATTATAAAAATTTTTTTTTTAGGTTTTTTGTAACAGGTAAAAAGAGGGCTGCTGTTTTGGCTGTTATACGTACTAATATTTAGCACAAGCTAAAAATAATATCAAATTATTAGCTTAAATTGTTGCCAAAATTAATAGGTAAAAAATTTCTATTAATTTTGCACTTAATAGTACATTAATAATCACGTTTATAGTTTGCGTCAACTTACCCCGTGGTGGGGTAAGTTGGCGCAATTTTTTTTTTTTTTTTGAGGGCCCCGTAAGGCCCCAAGAATTTTTTTTTGTAAATCCATGAAACTTTTATAAGTTACCCAAGTTCATACGCTTTGAGACTACACTTTAATATTTTCAAAAAAGTGTGCTATTAGGGCTACAGAGCTCATAGAGTAAAAACCGAGCCAACTAGCCCCGGTCTCCCCTACAAGAAAAAGGTCTTGAATAAATGGAAAGAAAAGTTTTTAATTTTATTTCGCCGCATTTTACGGCTTTTCTGTGAGAAAAAAAAAAATGTTGTTTTTACCTTTTGATGTTTTATAATTTAGCTTTAAAACTATATTATAAGTACATTAAAAGGATATTAAAAAGTATATTTAAAACAAAGTAATCTAAATAGTATTTATAATAAATATATTTTGGTTATTTTATTTTGAAAACTTTATGATATGATTACTGCGGTACTCAAAGTGTCGCCTTTTGCATCAATTGCAGTTTGTATCCTTCTTGACATACTTTGGATGCAATTCTTTACATTTGCTTTTAATTCCTTATTATTATGCCGAGAATTTTAGTGCTTTTATGAGATTTTTTTTGTTGGTTATAGTTTTCTGCCCAATTATCCAATTTAAAAGTTCCATTCTCTTTTGGGTTTAAGACATGAGAACTACTAGGCCATGGTAAAACAAATGACCCGTATCATTTTTGACCCTAAAACTATGTAACTATGTAAACAGTATCATTTTTGACCCTAAAACTATGTAACTGAGGAATTAATTTGGCTGGTAATACTTTTTTATATTTATCTTGGTTCATAGTCTCTTCAACTATATAAAGAAGGCCACTGCCTTTACCACTTAAGCTGACCACATCATAACCTTTAAAGGGTGTTTTGCCATCTCCATAATATAATCTGGATCATATTTTTTTTAATTCCTTTGTCTAAGAAAAGAATGCTTATACTTTAATATTTCAAAGACTCATCTGAGAAACACACCTAAAAGCAATAAAAAAAAAGATAAAAAACACATAAGTGTGATGCTGTTGCAATAAATAATAATTTTTTATTTACATTTTTCCAATCTTCAGCAGACATATGTAGGTGTTGTTAGCTAAAGCAAGACCTTTTAATCTCATCGCTGGCGTAAGTTTAGGTTTCCTCGCAGGTCTGTAGCATTTAAAATCCAGTTCTACTATTCGACAACTTGTAGTTCTATTAGAAATCTTGATACCAGCTTGAATGACTTTTAAATTGCTTTTTGTACTTTTTTTTTGGTTTTTAACACAAATGTTACGAGTTGCCCTTTAATCCCTAAGGATAGTGATGTGTGGTTTCCAACATTTTTCACTTATGGCATTTTTTACAGGTATTTTTTTATTAAGCTTATTTTCAATTTTGCTTATTGTCGTCACAGAAACTTACACTAAATTAGCATAACATTGCAAAAGCATGAAAATTGAAGTTGTGAATATCATGTAGCTTTTTTTTCAACTATATTATAGCCCTGACTCAGTTCATCAAGTACTTTCTTGATAGTATATGCTGTTTAAAACAGCATCATTACAAACATATATATATATATATATATATATATATATATATATATATATATATATATATATATATATATATATATATATATATATATATATATATATATATATATACATATATATATATATATATATATATATATATATATATATATATATATATATATATATATATATATATATATATATATATATATATATATATATATATATATATATATATATATATATATATATATACACTAGAGGTGCGCCTATACATCGACACCAATCTTGGTAAAGACCGATGCCGATTTTATTTATTTAGGAAAGTAATTATATTATATATTATATAATATATATGTAAATTATAATATATATGTAAATTACTTAACAATCAGCAAAGCAACTAACCATTAAACAATTTTAAACATGTAAAGAAAAATAAATTAAAGCATTAAAATTGATCGTTAACATTATATTTGAGAAAAAAATCCTAATTTATTCATTTATAAAAAAAAAAAAAGAGTACTAATTTGAATTAAGAGCTAATGCCGACGCATCGGCAGTAACCTTTATTTTTACAGGTTGATATAACTGCCCCTGTATATTTTTTGATTCTTTCAGCCAAAATAGAAAAAGAAATTCAAAAAAATTAAGCATAGAAATTATAATGCAAAAACATATTGCACATTTAAATTTTACATGTGTGGCATATAAAATTTACAAACTGACAGTGTCAGGGTCAAGGTTTGCGTCATATTTATTATGTCATTATGTTATATTTATGAGATAAATATGTTTAAATTAGTTTACATAAATATGTTTTACATGTGTAATTTGTTCATTTATGTTTTTCATTCTAAAACATACATAAACAAATTGCACATGTAACATATTTATGTAAATAAACAAAGACTAATTTAACTCAAAAATAGATCTGCTATTTTCTGAATAATATTGATGGTGGATTGCAAAAGTGGCGTTTGCTTGGTAAGGAATTTGCACTCGCGTTGTTCCACATGTAAAACTCAGTTACTATAACTTTTTTTTAGACTGTTTGGTTAGATCAAAGTGCTTCCGTAAATGGATCTTGTGGATTTATTAGGTCTTTCATCACACTTTATTACTTATCTCCTTTAGAAATAATACTCACCATGAACTTTTACGCTAGTGCAAGTACATGGAGTTTAACCAATATTACAGCGAACTTAGGTAAAATTACAGTTTTAATTTTTTTAAATGTATTTTAAATCGAATTTAAATTTTTTTTTCTAATATTTGGAAAATAAAGATTTTATTATTTTATCTATAAATATAAATGTTTATTGAGGTATCTTTTAGTACGTACTCAAATTTCCCTTTTTACTTGCCAAAATGTACACAAAGAAAAACAGTAGTTCATATTTTTGCATTTATGTTGTCAGGACATACGCTTCAGACAAAACTTGTTTAACCTTGCAATCAGAAAAACAAAACTTCTCTACCGCGTAAATATAAACTTCTTTGTGAGTTTTCCTCATATTTTGCAACTTAAAAAAGTACTTTTTTTAAACATACTTAGATATAAAGCAATGAAAAAGCATTTTGTATTTAAATTATAAATTATTTTTCGTCCTATTAATGAATATTTGGAATTTATGTTTATTTTAGTTTATTTTATATTTAGCGGACTTTTTTCTTATGCGTTTTTGAGATTTTTGTAGAGGAAAAGTTATATTTATTTTGTGGTGAAAGTTTACAGCATCACAAACTAACATTGTTTTTTGATTTCTTTATGCATTTAATTTTTAATCGTGTGCGCACTTGGATCTTCAATACAATAATGTTTTCATATTTTTAAAATTAAACCAGTTGATAAATTTTGATTTATTAATCATTCCTTAGTTGATTTAAAGAGATTGAGTGAGCTACTTATAATTTCAATTGATTTAAAGAGTTAGATTGAGTGGAAAATTATGTTATCACTTTTAGTAAAAGTATAAGCCTCTACTCAATTTATAAACATAAAATTTATGTTTTCAAATTAAGTAGAAAGTACATTTATTAAATGTCTACTTTTATTACGCAATAATACTGCAATTATTTTCTTAATTAATTAAGTTATCTAACTAAAATTTTCGCTCTAACAATTTTGCATATAAAACTAACAATAATGCTTACTTATATGCTTGTCTAGTTAGAAGTTACAACTGTAGAAAGGGACTGGCTAATGAGGAAACACCTTTTTAATAGTTACCCAAATACCGTCTACAATACAATACAGTTACAATTTTTTGAAGTTTAAGGGTGTCTTGTTAGAGGTTGCCACCATGATAAACGTCAGGCAAATCATGCCATGATTTCTAATACTCGAAAGAAAATTATAAGAAAATTATGCGGTACAATATTATGGATTTTAGCGGGTGTCACTTTTGGTACCTGTTACCAGCCAAAGCCACCATGATATAAAGTACATTGTTTGCCATCCTACTTGTAGTTGCTTGTACTCTCAGCATGCGTTGAGAAATTTTCAGCCTTTTTAAAATAACGTAAGTCTAGCGGCCACGGGTTCGTATATATTTCTAAATATATATATATATACATACAAATATATATATTTGTATGAAAAAAGGAGAAGCGAAATCAATTTATAAGCTTTTGCTTCTTTTTTTCGGTATGCTTTATATATATATATATATATATATATATATATATATATATATATATATATATATATATATATATATATATATATATATATATATATATATATATATATATATAAAGCATACCGAAAAAAAGAAGCAAAAGCTTATAAATTGATTTCCCTTCGCCTTTTTTCCTAACTCAAATGTAACTCATAATTAATAAAGTTGTATAAGTTTTCATACGATAAGTTTAGTCACTTTTACAGCCATTTTAAGTGTTTTGAAAAAATCTAAACGTTTCGCAAAAATGATTCAAAAAGTAGTGAGCGAAACAACAGTGGACAACAATAGGTATTGTTAAGGGTGGCTCTGATGGCCAATCCAACGTTAATTTTTTGTGAACTAACCAACACATTCAACAAAAAATGCAGTTAGAAAATCCATGCTAATGTCCAGAGATCGGATGACAACAAAGTGGTTTAAAGGAAGGATTGGGTGGTCTTAAAAAAAACGGAAGCAAATAACTTTGAAATCGCAATTAACTAACATCAAATAATGAATAGAAAAAGCAAATTTTTTGTTATGAGATTTAAATCCAAAAACATACTAACCAATGTTGTAAGGTGGTGGTGGGAGTATTGGTATTTGGGTTTGTAACCGCCTTAAATTGAAGGGGTTTAAATATAATGTGTTCAGAATTTTTGAATGCTAAGAGATTTTTTTACGAAATTTAAAATATATCAATAAATATTATTTTAGGTGAGAATAGTAAAAAAATATATTTTATCAACTTGCTGCTTACACGATTGGTAACAATTTTGGAAATTTTATGTTCCCAGGCTTTAATCATCGCATTTTTTTTCAAAGCATCATTATTAAATGTTGATATAAACATAAAAATGTTTAGAGTTTGCTCCATATCTCAAATATCAAAAAATGCTGTATACACCTTGTCTAAAATTAAAAAAATATTTATGTTTAAAAAATAATAACACTACAAAATAAGAAAACACCAAATACTAACACTCCCACCGGTACTTTATACTAACACTCCTACCGGTACTTTATACTAACCCTCCTACCGGCATTTTGCAATCTCAGTAGAACAAATTCAGTTTTATCTTTTTTTGGTTCAATTACTTATTGTATTTTAATCTTTTAAAAAAAACTTAAGTCAAACCAGTTTTTCATTATAACAACTTAATATTGCTTGCTTGTCTCAAACTATTCTCATATGTTTTTTTTTGCAAGTAGCTTTTTTTTAGTTTTAGCTTTTTATGTACCAATAAAATTTATTAGATTTTTTAAAAAGTTTTGTATTATACTTTACTTTTTAAAGTTCAAAATGTAACTGTATTTATATATCCATAAATGTTTACGTTAAAACTCCGGCTTAAACAACTTGAATGACTATGTTGTAATAATGTTAACTTAAGTGAGTATATCATGTAAGCCATTGAATGCGGTATTCAACTGTGTTGCTTGATTGAATTTATTCTAGATTAATAATAACATATGGAACACTTATTACATTTACTAAATCTTATCAATTGGCAATATCAATGCTCAGTTTATTTCGTATTATATTTCGAACTAAGTTAATTTTAGTACTAAATTAACCTTCATTGGTGCTTATTTTATGAAACATAGGATGTTTTTGCACTCCGATTTCGATATTTTATTTCCTTAATGCCATCTGTTTTTTAAATGTTTTCAGGTTTTTTTAGACGCATTTGTTTGATAGAATCTATTTTAATAATACTTATTCTAAAGCTATCTTTCGTACTTATTTTCTGCCATTATGTTGGTTTATTTTCTGCCATTATGTTGGTTTATTTTCTGCCATTATGTTGGTTTGATATCTCTTAAACATCAGATCTTTTCAAATTATTAAAAACAGCTTTCAGTGTGACTAAAAAAATCATTGCTATCAATTTTTTCCTTTTTTTTTTGTTGAAAATTGTCAAACAAACAAGTTGATAAAAATATAAATATAATATTATAAACTTTGACTACATAGCAATAGTTTAATAATCTAAGAAAAGGCACTTGTGCTAAACTCGTTTTATTTCTTTACTAAACATTTTATTTCTTAGTTCTCAATTTCTCATGTACTTTAGATCTTTACTTTTTTTTTAATTCAGATTTTGTAAAATCGTTCATCCCATTTGGTGAACAATTTTACAAAATCTATATTTAATTGATATTCTAAGGCTTTACTTAACATTTATAAAGAATTTTTACAAATAAATCTTATTGTATCTAGCCTACAAATCAAGTAATACAATTTTTTCTTTAATCTATGCAACTTACATATTTGTAGCATTGTTTATCTTTTCTACATAAACTCAATAAGATCCTTGAAGTTTGGAAAGCTTTAAATTTTTAAATTTTTCAAATGGAACCATTTCGCTCCAAAATATGATTTTTCAAAATATTTTATTAAGTTTTACTACTAATGCATATTTTAAAAAGTCACATATTGCTCTGAACAATCAGATGACAGATAAGTTAAAGCACAAAAAAAGGGTCCTAACCTCTTCGAAAATGATCCGAAAAATCCCTTGAAAGAGTGATTCAATAGATAATAGGGATCATTGCATTTAAACTAATACACAAAAAATCTTTATTTTCAAGTGTTTGAACAGCCAAAAATTCAAAAAAACACTTTTTTTTTGCCTTAAATTTTACAAATACCGCAAACTAATATTCCTTACATTCAAAATACTGTTTTAATAAAGAATATTTGTATATATTCCAATACTAGTATATCAATATACAACATAGTATATCAAATTTCTTTTGATTTTTTAGTAGGATTAAAAATCAAAAAAACTTGATATTAAAATTTTATTCTTAAGCATAGCATTATTTAAAACACAACTTTTTTCATAAAGATGGGCATATATTTCTAGATATATATATATATATACACTGAATTACAAAGTAGCTTAAACCAATAAAAATTTGAAACTGTAGATATTCTTTTGATATCGAGACTGTAGATCTTTTGATATCGAGACTGTAGATCTTTTGATATCGAGACTGTAGATCTTTTGATATCGAGACTGTAGATCTTTTGATATCGAGACTGTAGATCTTTTGATATCGAGACTGTAGATCTTTTGATATCGAGACTGTAGATCTTTTGATATCGAGACTGTAGATCTTTTGATATCGAGACTGTAGATCTTTTGATATCGAGACTGTAGATCTTTTGATATCGAGACTGTAGATCTTTTGATATCGAGACTGTAGATCTTCCGACAAAAATAAGTAATTACACACACGAAACTCTGACTGAGATTTTTCTCCTGAGAGTTCTTAATCCACAACAATTTAATTTCAAATGTGTTTGCTGTTAAGATCAATAACACAACTCAGAAGTTTTTCCCCATCTTAAGAATGAGAAGGTGGCCTTTTAAATCTTTGCCAGTGGATCTTGAATTTGGTATGCATCGATTCAGTGGTTTGCTCACTGAAAACTCCAAGCCCAGTTTCATTTTTTCCAAAAAATTCCTTAATTTGAAGAAAAATTGCATGTGCTTTGGAAGTAAATGAAATTCCAAGCGCTAGGTAAGAATACTTTAATTATAAAACATTTTGGCAGAACACTACCTCCAAGATCTTTTCAAAACAAGCTTTTTTAACAGATTGAAGTTTTCTGAAGCAATCAACAAAAGGCACTGCGAGGCACTGCCAGCAATGCACAATGCGCAAAACTCTAGAGAATGTCATTCTTCAACAGTTTGTTGCATTCATTTTTATTGAACTGTCTCCCATGATATACTTGCATTTAAATGTGCAAGAAATTTGGCTATTCTTGTGCTTGATCCTATATTTCAAGCAGTTGCTTGAAAATTTGGTTGAAGATTCCAATAAAATGATGAAGCTTCATCAATTATATCAAAAATAAGCCCATATTGCCTGTAGGTGTTAATTAATGGAGGATGGACTAAATTTTTAATAACCCCGACGGATTCTTAACTGATAAATGTTTTGCACCTGAAGAGAAGAACCCAGCATAGCTGTTGCATAAAAAAATAAATTTTCTTGATTGGCCAGAGTTTATAAGGTTGTCAAACTCAATATCACACCAACAACATGGGTGTTTGCTCGAATGCTACTGTATACCACATAAAATGTTGGCTACTTTCATATCACATGAAATTATGTAACACAGATCTTCAATTTGTATGAGAATTAGTATTGTCCTAAGATTTTCATATGTTTCAGCATCATCCTGGGCAGAAAAACTTGATTAAAAACATAATGGTCCTTGAGTATAACTTTGCTTGGAATATGTGTTAATTACGCTAAGGATAAATTTCAAGAATGAACCACCTCCATTAGTTCCCAGTGTAACAAAATTATGTGATTCCAAGCGTAACTAAATAATGTTAGTCCTCTTACTGAGAGAATAAGATTGATTAATGCATTCATGTTTTGCAGTAAACAACTTTTCGAACTTTGTTTTTCATTTCTTTGTCCAGAATGACAACATTTGACATCATGAAAAAATCTGCAATTTTTTTCCAGAAGTTGTCAAGTTTTTGTTTCACGTTTGCCTGTACATCTCATTTTTCCATCTACATCTCTTTTTAAGAGCTGATGCAAGCCTTTTCACACGAACATTGTAAAGATTCGTACTGTTTTGAACTTGGACCAATTTTTCAGCAACAAATAGCTGCTGCTTGAACTTCGCTGAATGTCCTGGTAGAACTTTTAAAGATTTACCCTATCTTGCTCGACTAAGTTTGACAGTACCTCCTGGAGAGAAATCTTTTTTAGAGATTCATATGTTTATATGCCTATAGTACAAAATTAAGGATTTCCTTTTGCAAGTACTGATGAACTAATTCTGCATTTGTTTTCGACTGGCTGTGATGATAAAGGTTTGGAACGGAGAGCTTTGATACGTCAGTTTCAGGGTAGAATTCAAAAAAAAATAGGTTTTTTGATTCAATATATCAAGCTCAATCTGTGTCAGATTTTCTTTGAGTTTTAGATTGGCCACCCTACAAGTTAAACACTGGCAAGCACCAGAATATCTAGTAAATGGCTTTATGATAATCGATTTAAAATTGTACAGGTATGGTATCTGTCCAATAATACTAACATTATTAAGTCGTTGTAGTTTGCTTTAACATGAACTGCAAATGCCAGTTGGAATTTTCTCATTATTAAAATTATTATTACAGTTAAAAATATTCTTGACTCTTTTAATCAAAAAATTAGTTAATATGCGATCACTTTCCTTCAAACACAAAAAGCAAACCGATTTTTTGCAATCACCATGATTTTTTGCTGAATTAGGCATTTTTTGACAAGGGCAAATTAACTTTTAACAAAAATACCAATTTATTTGTTTACATTATTTGGTGCGAACATACTTTAATTTTATTGACATTAAATTTGAATTTTTGTTAAAGAAAAAAAAAAGTTAAACTAGAGATTTATACATGTTGCTTAGAGATACTTGCAACATTTAAGACAAAACAAAAGGTATTTTTTAGTGACTTTTAGCAGTTAAAACGCATTTTGAAAGTTAAGTTTCTTGTAAAAATTAGGAAAAAACTTTAAATGCAATTTTCTCCTGCGGACGTATTTAAAATATTTTAACTTTTGTTTTAAAGTGATTATCATAACCTAAAGAACCACTCCTCAATGGATTTTTTGAGCCATTTCCGAAAAGGTAAAGACCCCTTTTTGGATAACTGTGAAAGTTTTTAAATATTTTTTACAATAATGCGTTTGGCTTTGGCTATGGAAACTTACTGCATTTAATTATTTGAATTTGAAGTTTAAGCAAGTTGCTGCCAACTGTTATATAAAGAAAGGAATATAATTTAATAACTATTTTTCATATTCATGCCAAAAAAATTCTCATTATAGACCTTTGACACATATAAGCAGAATTGATATATTATATTTACCTTAACTGAATGTTGTATTAATTAATAATTTATAGAAGTTTTCTTTATTATTTTTATTTTTTGCATTGCTCTATAATAACTATCACAACTTTAATTCTTAAAACACCTTTTGTGAGAAATTATTTATACATTTTGTACCCCTGCATGCCTTTATTTGTTTCCTTTTTTTTTTTGGCATTGTTCAACAATAATGATCACATCGTCATTTATTTAAAAATTTATGTTACAAATTAGTTTTACACTTTGTTTTCCCTGATTTTTTCTGTAGCAAACTAGTTGTACACTATATACCCCCTGAACTTTTTTTGCAAGAAACTAGTTGTACACTTTATACCCCCTTGCGCGTCATGGCGCTTTTGAAAAATTCTACTCTAAAGTATCATATATAATATTAAAAACTTTCAAAATAGACGTAAAAAACTATCAATGTTTCTGTTTCTTTAGGTAATACATCTTTAAAATTATGGAGTGTTCAGGAATCAATTTTAAATGTTCCTCTTAATAATTCTTATCATTGTGAAAACGGCCTAGAATATGATCTTGTCTCTGGCAATTACAGAGTTACCATTACTTTTAAACAACTCGTTATTCAATCGTATATAAACAATGGATTGTATGATAAATATAGTAAGTAGTTTTTATTTTTTCTGTTTACATTTTTTTGTCTTTATACAACCAATAATTAAAAAATATAATTACGCAAATTTACAAAATGACAAGTAATATAACAAATACAAACAATCTGAAACTAGATCACATAAAATCTTGTCATTAAAGCCATTTTAACAAGCTTAAATAAATTTGTAAAGTAAAATAATTAAAAATAAAATTATTATAAACGTAAATAAATAAAAAGTTGAATTAAACAAAGATACATTAATTAAATCGTACAACTTCTAATAACTCATTATATTATCTAAACAAAGTATATAACAGTTATTTTTTCTTTATAATAAAGATCGTAGGTAGTTTTTATGTATTCAGAAGAAGTACTTTATTCTTAATTTTAGAATAAATTATAAAAGGGTTTTTTTTAACAGAAAAGCAAAACAACAGGTTAAGCAGATATATTCAGAAATAAATGAGGAAAATAAATGAGGCAACTGTCATGCTTATATTAAAATTAAAACCTTTTTTACTTTTTTAACCCTTTGAGCGCGAAGAGCACGACTGTGGCTATACCGTCAGAGCGCGAAGAGGCACGATTGTGGCTTTAAAAGTGGTCTTTGAAACTCTAATTTTTTACAGCAAAATACCGCTGTTCGTTCACTAAAAACGGTAGCATTGAATAGAGCGTAATTTTCTCTACCTTTTGGTATATTGTTGTTATATATTTGGTTTTAAAAATGAGCGACAGTGAATAAAGTTGTATGGATGACAAGAGTTGTACCAGCAAAGAATTTTTAAGTTCCAGCGATGACAGTTTGTTTGATGAAGGCACGATAACTTTAATTTAAAAATTGTATACAATATAATTTAATACAAATATATCACCTAGTATGATAATTTGAAGTTTTTATTTTAATTTTTATGTAGACTTTAGTTCTGATGGCGATGTTGACGTAGGTGATGCTAGTGGTAATGTTTTAGATGATTGGTTATTTGTTCTAGAAGATGAAAATGGTCCTAATGTTGTTCACTTTACTGGTGAATCAAGACCCAAGCACTCAATTTCACCTGAATCTAAGCCTATTGAATATATTGACTTGTTTTTTACTACTGAATTTTTGCAAAATATAGTAAATTTTACTAATAATTATGCTGACATGTGGATTCAAAACAGTCTACAACATTTGAGGTCCCATCCAACATCAAGAGGTCATGGATGGATTAAACAAGGAAAGACCAATCTTTTAGAGATAAGAGCTTTCCTTGGAGTTATTATCAACATGGGTCTCATCAAAAAAGCTAATCTTAAACTTTACTGGGATATAAGTCATTCTTGTGCATCTACTCCCTGGTTTGTTACCCACTTCAATCGTGACCGGTTTCAACTTTTGCTTAAATTTCTTCATTTTACAGACATCCATATACTAAATCAACAACCACTCAATAAAATTTATAAAATTCATTTTTTAGTTAAATATTTTAAGAATAAATTTCTTTATTATTATTATCCACCAAAAAGACATTTCCTTAGATGAGAGTATGGTTGGCTACAAAGGAAAGACACCACATCTGCGCCGATATATTCCACACAAACGTCATTCTAGGTTTGGGATTAAGTTATGGTGTGTTTCAGACAGTACTAACGGTTATTTGTGTCAATTTGAAATTTACAAGGGAGGAAAAGACCCAGATGTAGCAGCCATTGCCTATGGTATGACTTATAGTTTAGTTTTTCGTCTTTTGCGCCAAACTAATTTCCTCCACCAAGGTCATCACTTAGGTATTGACAATTATTATACTTCTCCTCAACTGTTATTAGATCCATATGCTCATCAGACCACTGCAACAGGCACAATGAGAGTCAACAGGAAAGGCCTACCAGAAACCTGCATTAAATCGAAATTAAAAAATAAGGAGGTTTGCCAATATAGAAAAGGTCTATTGTTGTGTGTGGCATACCAAGATGGTAAAAAAAAGCCTATATTACTATCTACTGTTGCCAAAACAGGTTTTACTGAAATGCGTAACAGAAGAGGAAATTTAGTTATGAAACCAAATGTTGTTGCCCTTTACAATCAAACCATGGGGGGTGTAGATTTGGGTGATGCACAGCTCTATGTGTACTTGTCTGAGCGTAAAACAATAAAGTGGACAACTAAAGTTGCTTTTTCTTTATTTGGTAGGGCAACTTTAAATAGCTATTTATTGTATAAGCTCAATACAAATGAACAAAAGTCAATGTCAAGAATAGATTTTATGATGGCTATAGTGGAATGTTTAGCCGGAGGTTATTTTCCAGTAAAAGTAATTTCTAAAAGAAGAACATCAAGAGAGATTGAAGTGGCTAGAAGTACAATACCCACTTCTCCAACACACTGCAAATAGCAATCCATTATATGGTCACAATCTTGTTAAGTTTGGTGCAGGAAAAAAAATAAAATGTGTAGCTGGGCACCAAACTCGAGTCCGCACAAGTTGGCAGTGTCAGTTATGTGGTGTTGGACTGTATCCAGCCTGTTTTTCCAATTATCACACAATAGTTGTGCATTAAAATCATCAAACTGCTTTTGATCTTATATAACCTACAAAAAAAAAAAAAAAGTTCAAAAATAGTTGTTTTTTTGTTATGCTTATTGCCGATTTTTTTTTTTTGCCGATGTTTTTTTAGTTGAATTTTTATGAACGGCGTTCAAATTTTATCGAGCGCTCAAAGGATTAACATTTCCCATATTCTAAAAACTAATCCATTAAACCGTATCTATATCTCCACCCTAAGTTTTCTGAAAATAAAACAAAAAAAAAGATGGATTTTAAACTTATCTTTTTTGATTAAGCTTATATCATTGGAAGCAGCTTTATTAGTTTTATTTATTAAATTTTGTTTGATTTCATCAAAAAAATCAGATAACTCATGGTCAGGTAAAATTCATGGAAAATGAACATAAAAATTTGGTGGCCTATACCTAATATATGTATAATAAATGTCATACTTTAGAATCAACACGTAATTAATGATTTTTAACGATATATTGTCATTTAATCTTTAACATTTTTAACATTTAACTCGTATGTTCTTGTTTCGGTTGTTGTTGGTGAATTGATTGTCGCAGGAGAATTTATTTTAGGAAATGACAAGTGGTTTGGTGGTATTATTGATTTAATGGGAAATTTTTTTAATATATTGTTTTGTAAATTGACATTATAGAAGGATATTCAGAACTATGACTTGGAGTAATGGAGTTTCTTGTCGATGATAATATTTCTCGTAAAAATCTTTGATTCCGCTGTGCATTTATTTTCCCTCGATATTGTTGATGTGGCAAGGTTTCAACAATTTGTCATGTGTTTTGCAATTTTTTAGGCAGGTTGCTATGCTGATTTTGAATTGCTACGCTAGAACCTATGGATAGCGGGCAGTGATATTGGGGTTTTTTAAACTTTAATGAATTGTAATACCATTTTATTATAACTCTTTTATGCATGTCGGCTAAATCAGACCACCCACTTTTAAACTGTATTGGATTTGGTAAGTGGTCATTTATAGTTCTTCCAAACAATATTTCTGCTGGTGATGCTTTATTATTGAGGTGGTTATTTTTGTGTAACAAGAGTGCTCTTTCTGCTTTTTCTTTTAATAATGTTTAAAGATCCACTTGGGCTAATATTTGTATTTAATAAATATAATATAAATATAAAAATGTTGTTTTTTGAAATAAATATTTAGGTAGTATTGGTTCTGCAAGCGGCTCTTTATAGTTTTAGGGTGCAATATTAATACATATACAACATTGAGCTCTGTTGTTTTGTATTTGAGCACTCATTCCTGGCCAAAAAAATCTTCTTTTCACGTTTTCTCTCATTAATGCTACACCTTGATGTCTTTCATGTAAATAATTGAGTAAAATTGGTTTCAGCTTGTTTGGTTTTAAAACTTTACCATCTAAAACCACAAGACTTTTATAGCATTTAAGTTATAATGTTTCGACAAAAGTTCTTAAAGATGTTTTGATATACTTTGCATATTTTCTGGGAATCCTATTTGCATAAGTTGTAGTAGATCTTGATTAGTAGGATTGATTGATGATTCTGTAACAATTTTAGTTATTTTAATAGGGCTATTGAAAATATTAAACACATAATAAATGACTCCTAACAAGCCGCTTTCAATGTCATATGCTTTGTTTAAGGTGTCACTGTTATATGAACAAATCCCGGTTATAGCTTTTGGAGAAAATTTTGTACTGCGTCAAATAACTTATGGAAGTTCTATATCCTGGTTAGTTCAAATCTGGCAAACTCAATGTTGTCCAAGGTGAACTTAAACATTTTGGGATTAAAGACTATTCCATTGTCCAAGTATAGTTTAATATAAGACATTATATGCCAAAATTAAAATTCAATATCGTTATCCCAAAGCAAACAATCATCAATGCATCTGACAATTTTTGGAAAATCTGGGTTATATCGTTAGAATGTTTGGTGTATCCGTCATTGCATCCGTGCATGGAATCCTTATGGTTCCCCTTAAGTATCAATAAAGTCCTCAATCTATAACCGCCAAAAAAGTTTTATTTACATCTTTTTTTTTCATTTGTAAAAATGAATTACTTACAACCTTAGTGTTTTTTTTTTTTTTTTTTTGATTTATTAATATTTCATCCTACTCAGCGCCATTAATAATAAGACAAAGCAAAGATAAAATTTGTTTTTTCCTTCCATAAGACAAACAACCTAAATCGTAAACCGCAATATATATATATATATATATATATATATATATATATATATATATATATATATATATATATATATATATATATATATATAATATATATATATATATATATATATATATATATATATATATATATATATATATATATATATATATATATATATATATATTATACTATAACCTAAAAATACAGTCCAATATAACCTAAAAATACAGTCCAATTAATTTCATAAAAGAAACACAATAGTTATCAAAATAGCAGTTGTAAGCAATAGGAATTACC